GCCTGGGCACGCGCGAGCTTCTCGTCCGCGGCGCGCTTCTCGGCCTTGAGCGCGCCGTCGTGGCGCATGAGCAGGTGCTTGTCCGCGAGCGCGAGGCCTCGCGCGACCGCGGGCTCGAAGGCGTCGCTCCAGAGCGCGTGGAGGATGCGGCCGCAGCGGCCGATGGGCGAGTCCGGGTCGTTGTAGAGCGCGCAGGCGTGCCAGATGGCGCGGACGTCGGCGACGGCGCGCGCGGCGCCGCGCGCGCCGTCGTAGTCGCCGCGCGCGAGATTCCGGCCCACGGTCGCGAGGTCCATGGGCCGGACGACGACCTTGGCGTAGCCCGGCGCCGTCGCCGCGTCGACCGGCGCCGCGAAGAAGCGCGCGAGGCCGTGGCCGCCGAGCGTGTCCACGGCGAGCTTGACGGTGGCCGTCGCGACGAGCGGCGAGTCGAGGAACGTGCAGTTCTCCGGGTCCTTCGCCTGCGCGACGGCGCAGGCGGCCAGCAGGCCGTCGTCGGCGCTGTCGAGGTCGAAGAAGCCGCCGACGTCGAGGTCGCACTCGCCGCAGCGCCAGGCCGCGGCCTCGTCGTCGAGCGCCTCGACGAGGCGGCCGGCGGGCCGCGCGCAGAGGCAGGCGCCGTGGAAGGCCCGCGGGCAGAAGTCGCAGCACACGAGGTCGCCGCCCCGCCCGCAGCGCTCGCACTCGTCGAAGTGCTCGCGCGTCGGCGCCGCGCGCGCGACGTCGCCGGCGCCGTGCGCGGCCGCCGCGGCCGCCGTCGCCGCGGCCGCGCGGCGGCCCTCGCCGCACTCGTCGTCGTCGTCGTCGTCGTCGTCGTCGTCGTCGTCGTCGCACGCGCGCGCGCCCGCGGGCACGGCCGGCGGCGGCTTCGGCGCGTCGTCGTCGCCGCCGCCGTCGTCGCGCCGCGGCGGCGGCGCCGCGGGCTCGGCCGCGGCGCGGAGCGCCGCGGGCGCCGCGGGCGCGTCCGCGCGGCGCGCGTGCGCCTCGAGCTGCGCGGCGATGGACCGCGCGATGGCGTCGGTCTGGTCCCCGTCGAGGTCGAACTGCGCGGCGACGGTCGCCGCGAACGCGCCGGGCGTCGCGGTCCGCGCGTCGCCGTCGCGCCACGTCACCGTCGCCTCGGCGACGCGGCCGCCGTGGAGGGGCACGCGCACGAGGACGCGCGCGTTGCCGCCGGCGGCGAGGGGCAGGGGCGCGGGCGTCGCCGCGTCCGCGCCCGCGGGCGCCGCCGCGCCGTAGCCGTAGGCGCGCGCGGCCGCCGCGCGGCGCTCGTCGTCCGCGGCGCCGCGCGGCGCCGGCGGCGCCGCGCGGGGCCGCGCGACCTCGTCGAGGTCGCCGTAGAGCCGCGGCTGGAAGGGGTGCGCCGGCGCGGGCCGGGGCCGCTTCGCGCGGCCGCCGCGGCCCGGCCCAGCCCTGCGCTTGGCGCGGTCCGACGACCGCTTGTCCGCGACGGGCTTCGCCGAGCCCACGAGCCCGAAGCCGAGCGTGCCGACCTCCGGCGGCACGAGCTTCTGGAGGCCGCAGATGTGGCGCTCGCTGTCGCTCGACGCGCGGGACCCGGCGTAGTAGCCGCAGTGGGCCTTGAGCGTGTGGCAGACCTTGGACGGGTCCGCGGCGGCGACGGCGCGGATCGTGTCCGAGAGGACCTGGTCGACGTCGCAGACGTCGCAGCGCACGCCGAGCGCGCCGCGGTCCCGGAAGACGATGAACTGGCGCCGCTGCGCGCCGTCCTTGTCGACGTACTGGTTCTTCACGGAGCCCTCGTGCGACGCGGTGGCCACGGCGACGTCGCGGTCGATGTGCGCCTGGAGCGAGATGACGAGGTCGAGCGGCGCGGCGCAGAGCGCGCGCTCGGTGTCCGTGAGCACCTCGAGGCCCGGCGTCCCGTCGAGCGCCACGAGCTGGCCGGGCCGCTGCTTCGACTCGTAGCCCGACGCGTACTTGACCATGAGCCACGACCCCGCGAGCCGCTCCGTGACGACGCCGCGCTCCGCGTCGTCGCGGAGCTTCACCTCGTCGCCGACGCGCATCGGCGGCTGCGCCGCCGCGCGGCCCGACGCCCGCGGCCGGCCGCCGCCGCCGCCGCCGCCGCCGCCGCGCTTGCTCTTGGGCATCGTGAACGACTCGTCGCCGTCGCTCCCCGCGGCCTCGCCGTAGTCCTCGCCGGCTTCCAGCGCCGCGACCGTGAACTGGCGCACGCGCCGGCTCGACTCGCGCCCGCCCCGCCCGGGGTGCGCCGCCTCGTAGTCCTCGTCGTCGTCCTCGCCGCCGTAGCCCTCGTAGGCCGCCTTCGGCGGCGGCACGTAGGGCTCGGGCACGCGCAGGGGCAGGGCGTCGGGCACGTCGTACTTCTCCGTCGACGCGTCGATGCCGAAGTCGTCGTCCGAGTCCATGGCGTGCGTCGTGTGAAGGTCGCGTCGGCGCGGTCGCGCGACACGGGCGCGAGGGGCCGGAGGCTCGATCGCGGAGCGCTTCGGCTTCGCTTCAACCTTTTGAGGCGGAGGCGAACATGAAAAGGGGCTGTTTGTGATCAACATTGCTGCTTGTCAGGTAGCATGAAGCTGCCCGCAATGGCGCTCTTCTTCCTAGCAGTTGCAACGTAACGAGAGCAATGCGACTGCTGCGTCGGCAGCTCAAAAGCATCTGGACTGGCCTCGACCGGCGCGCCCTGGCGAAGGATGTGGCCACGGCCGGCGCTCTCGGCTGCGTTGGGGATTTCATTTGTCAGGGTGCCGTGGAGCAGCGCGAGACCATCGACTGGCGCCGCTTCGTTTCCGTGGGCAGCTTCGAAGCAATCTACATCGGCGGGTTCTTCCACTTCCTCTGCCAGGCCTTTCCCCCCGCCGTCTGCGCCGTCGGGCGCGCGCTGGAGGCGTCGTCGGCGAGATCCGGCGTCGGCGCGGCGCTGCAGGTCGAGGGCTCGTCCGCGCACGCGCTGGGCTGCTCGCTCGCCGACAACGTGCACGACGGATCTTTGATGATCCCGTCCTACTTCGTCGGCGTCGGGCTGATGCAGGGCGACGCGCTGGACGCGACGCTCGGCAACCTGCGGCGGGAGTGGCTGGCGAGCTATCTCGCCGGCTGCTCCTTCTGGATCCCCGTCATGTGGCTCAACTTCCGGGTCGTGCCCGCGCCGTACCGCGTGCGCGTCATGGCCGTCTCGAACACGTGCTGGTCCGTCATCATCGACTTCCTCGCGCACCGGAGCCGCGGGGATGTCACGTAACCCGCGCGCGTCATCGTTGTAACTAGGTCACGAGTCAAGGATGCTGGTGTAAAGAAAGGGCTCGACTTAGACGTGATGGGCTTTACTTCGCGCCGCGCAGCTCGCCGACCTTGGCGCGCGCGAGGTCGAGGACCGCGGGCGGCACGCCCGCGGCGCGCGCGGCGTAGATGCCGAAGGACGCGTCGGCGAGCCCCGGCTCGAGCTTGTAGAGCATGACGATGTCGTCGTCGAAGCCGTCGTTCGCGTCGTCGCGGGGCACGCGCGCGTAGGCGACGTGGACGTTGCGGACCCGCGCGTGGTCCGCCGCGGCGGCCTTGGCCAGGTCGTGGTAGTGCGTGATGAAGAGCGTCGTCGCCCGGACCTCGTCGACGAGGTGCGCGAGCGTCGCCGCGGCGACGGCGACGCCGTCGTGCGTCGACGTGCCCCGGCCGAGCTCGTCCAGGATCACGAAGGACGCCGCCGTCGCCTCGTTGAGCGGCAGCGCCGCGCGCCGGAGCTCGGCGAGGAACGTCGACGCGCCCGCGGCCAGGTCGTCGGCCGCGCCCATGCGCGTGAAGATGGCGTCGCGCAGGGGCATGTCGGCGCGCTCGCAGGGCACGGGCCCGCCGGCCTGGGCGAAGACGTGGGCCAGCGCCACCGCGCGCGCGATCGACGACTTGCCGCCCGCGTTCGGGCCCGTGAGCACCTGTGTGGAATTCAACCACTGGTTTGGGTGGTCCTGACCAAACTTCAGAATTCTCTCGCTCGGTCAAATCGAAGTCGATTCGGCTGATTTTTGGACGAATCGATTGCTCTCGTCGAGTTCTCGAAGCACAGCAGAAGAGATTGCGTCGAAAATGTCGCATACGCTCACATTGAAGTCGGGTTGAAGATTTGAATTCCACACAGGTGAGCACGAGCGCGTCGCCCGCCCGCAGCTCGACGTCGTTCGCGACGCAGGCGCCGCCCTCGGCGACGAGGGTCGGGTGGCGCAGGCCCCGGAGCGCGAGCTTCCCGGCCGGCCCGCCCAGGGCCGGTAAAACCCAGCCGGGCTCGCGCGCGAGCGCGCCGAGCGCGCGCAGCGCGTCCGCGAGCGCCGCGAGGTCGAGCACCGCGCGGAGCGGCGCCGACAGCCGCGCGTCGGCGTCGGCGGCGACGGCGCCAAAGGCCGCGCGCGCCGCGAGCTTGGCGCGCTCCCGGGCGACGCGGAGCGCGTCGACCAAGTCGCCGACGGCGGGCGCGACGTAGCGGCGGAGGTCCTTGGTCTCGGACGCGACGAACCACGTCTTCGCGTCGATCTTCCCCGCGGCCTCGAGGCCCTCGGCGTCGCGCTTCTTCAGTTCCACCAAGTACTCGAGCGTCGTCGACCCGGACCGCACGTGCTTCCACTCGAGCCGCGGCTTCCCGAGGAGCCGCCGCAGCGCCGCGAGCTCGCCGTCGAGCGCGGCCTCTTTCTCGCCGACGGCGCCGCGCGCGGCCGCGAGGGCCGCGCAGGCGCCGTCGCGCGGCGCCGCGTCCATGTCGTCCCGCTCGCAGGCGTCGGCGTCGAGCGTGCCGAGGAGCTCCGCGGCGCCGCGGAGCGCGGGCGCGGCCGCCGCCGCGGCCGCCGCGGCGGCCGCGACCGCGGCGGGCACGCGCGCGCCCGGCGCCGGCGCCGCCCCCGCGAGCGCGAGGCACCCCCGCAGCAGGCTCGCGAGGTGCCGCGGCCGGATGCGGCCGCTGCCGAGCGCCGCCAGCGCCTTCTGCGCGTGCCGCGCGTCCTTGTCGCCGCGCCCGTCGACCGCGAGCGCGACGACCGCGTCGAGGGGCCGCCAGGGCGACGCGTCGTCGACGTCGCCGGCCGACGCGACGGCGGCCTGGCGCGCGCGCACGGCGCCGAGGTCGCCGAGCGGCGCCCGGAGCCAGTCCCGGAGGAGCGCCTTGCCGCGCGCCGTTTTCGCGAAGCCGCGCGCGAGGCCCCACGCGGAGCCCTCGACGCGGCCGTCGGACGCCTCGAGCACCTCGAGGTCCTTGAGCGTCGCCGCGTCGAGGCGCATGGGCTCGCCGGCGCCGCTTTCGACGGCCTCGGCGCGCCGCAACGCGCCCGCGACGCCCATCTCGCCGCAGAACGCCGCGGCCGTTCCGAGCGCCGCCCGCAACGCCGGCGAGTTCCCCGCCGCCGCGACGACGGACGGCGCCCAGGCGCCGGCGTCCAGGGGCGCCCCCGCGTCGCCGCGCACGTCGACGGCGCCGCCGGCCGCCGCGCGGAGCGCCGCGGCGACGGGACCGGCCGCGTCGCCGACGCGGAGGCACTCCGCGGGCGGCCGCGCGGCGAGGAACGACGCCGCGTCGCCGGCGCAATCGACGCGCGCGAGGGCGACGGCGCCCGCGCGCAGGTCCACGGCCGCGAGGCCCGCGGCGCCGCCGACGTCCGCGCCGACGACGAGCCACCGCGCGGCCGCGCCGCCGCCGTCGTCGCCGCCCGCGTCGTCGCCCTCCGAGTCGTCGCCGCCGCCGCCGAGCTCGTCCTCGACGTCGTCGAAGATGAGCGTGCTCGCGGAGAAGACGCGGTCCACGGCGCGGTCGAACGTGCCCGACTTGCCCGAGGCCGTCGCGCCCGCGGCCTTGAGCGCGGCCGTGTCCGTCTGCCGCGCGACCGCGACCCGGAACCCCGCGCGGACGAGGCGCCGCACGTGCACGGCGAGGCGGCCCGTCGGGAAGGAGCAGGTCATGAAGTGCTTGTCGCGCCAGGCGACGAGGCCCAGCGCCTTGGCCGCGTTCTCGGCGCCCGGCCCGAAGACGCGGTACTTGTAGCCGACCTCCATGACGAGCAGGCAGCCCCGGTGCGAGTCGAGGAGGCCCTGGATCTGGCGCTCCATGGGCGTCATGGGGCCCAGCGCCTTGTCCGCGCGGCGCGGCGCCGCGTCGGCCGGCGCCGCGCCGCCGTCGCTTCCGCCGGCCGCGCCGCCGCCGCGCGACGCCGCGAGCGCCGTCCGCGCCGCGCGCGTGCTCGCGGTCTCCTCGAGGCTCGGCGTCCAGGCCGCGGGCGCGGGCGCGGGCGCGGCCGCGGCCGCCGGCGCGGCCGCCGGCGCGGCGTCGTCGGAGTCGTCGCCGGTGAGGTCGACCGCGGCCGGCGGCGGCGGCGGCTTCGCGACCGGTGCCGCGGCTTTCGCTTTTTTCGCGAAGAACGATGAGATCTTCGGCTGCGACTTCCGCTTGGCGCCGGGAGACGGGCTGGACATCGTCGCAGCGCAGCTCGCAGCTCGCGCAGCTCCAGCCTGCTCCACTTCGAAAGGTCAATGTGCAGTTCAACATGCTGCCCGGGCTTCGACCGTGGCAATGGTGGGCTCCTCGTCCGTCATGAGGCGCAGCCCGCGTGCGCTGGTCCTCCTGCTGGCGCTGGCGTGGAGCGACAAGCGCGACGAGCTGCGGGAGCTGCACCGGCAGCACCGGCAGCACCGGCACCGGCCCGGCGTTGACGCGGCCGCCGGCGCGCCGCCGGCGCCGGAGAGCGACGTGCCGCACCTGCGCACACGGTCCCAGTACATCGCCGACGCGCTGCTGCGCGCGCCGGAGAGCGCCGCGCCGGCGACGCCCGGCGCCGCCGCCGCGGCCTGGCGGGACCAGGTCGAGGCCCACGTCGCGGCCCACGTGGCGCGCGACTTCTTCGCGCCCGCGGCGGCGCCCGCCGCGGCCGCCGGCGGCGGCTGCGCGGGCGTGCAGGTCGTTGGCGCCTTCCACAAGACGGGCACGGTCTTCGCGAACGCGCTCGTCGCGGGCCTCGCGCGCGCGCACGGCCTCCCGTCCAAGGCCTACGTGAGCGACGGCGGCGCCGTCGCGCACGGCAACTTCTCCGCGCTCGCCGCGCCGCCCGGCGCGGCGCCGGGCGCGCGCTTCCTCGCCCAGGTGCTGTCCCCGGACTTTGCCCACGGCGCCCTCGCGGCGGCCCGCGGCCCGCGTCCCGCGCGTTTTCGAGCGCTCCGGCGCGCGACCTTGGCGCCGTCCGCAGGCGTGCGCGCGCGCGCGCGCGGTCGTGCTCGTGCGGGACCCCGTCGACGTCGTCCTCTCGGGCTTCAACTACCACGCGCGGCTCCCGGCGCCCGAGGCCTGGCTCGACTGGCGCGGCGGCCTCTTCGCGAACCCGTGCTCCGACTACATGCACGCGCATTCCGCGCTGCTGCGGCCTGGGCAGGACACAACAATATGCAACACGTCGCTTCGTCTCTGCTTCGAGAACTCGACGAGAGCCATCGATTCGTCGAAAAATCAGCCGAATCGACGTCGATGTGGCCGAGCTCGGGAATTTCAAAGTTTGGTCGGGACGTCCCAAACCGGCGGTCGATTTCCACACAGGCTGCGGCCCGCGGCGCCGCTCGTCGTCTCGTGCACCGTGGGCTACTTCGGCCACCTCGTCGACAACCCGAACGCGACCTACGCGTCCCTGCTCCGGGCGTCGTCGCTGGGCGACGGCCTCCGGGCCGAGGCGCTCCGCGCGCTCGTCGGCTCCGGCGACCTGCTCCGGCAGCAGCTCTGGGTCGAGCGCGCGCTCGTCGACGGGTCGCGCCACGGTCCGACCTTCGCGACCATGGCGGGCTTCTACGCGCCGGGCCAGTTCGCCGCCGTCGCGCGGTGCGTCTTCCCGCGCCTCGAGCTCCCCGCGGAGACGGTCGCGCCGCCCGCGCTACGGAAGCTCCGGTCCGCGGTGCTCCTCGAGGCCCGCGGCGGCGGCGAAAAGGCGACGGCCGGCGAGGCCTTCGCCGCGGCCCACGCGACGGCGAACACCTACGACAAGGCGCGCCAGCGCGACCTCCTCCTCGGCGACGCCGTCGTCGGCCGCGTCCTCGTGTCGCTCGCCGCGCGGCTCCGCGCGCTCTGGGCGTCGGGCAAGGTCGCCGCCTGCGGCGACTTCGACGCCGCGCCGAAGCGGCGGCCGCCGCCCCGCTGGGCCATGGCGGCAGCGGGCGACGCGGGGACTAAATTGAGGCGTTGTTGAGGCCCACGGTGAAGTGAGAAGCCGCTTCGGAGAGCGCTGCGCGCTGGAGAGCGTCTGTTTCCACAGGCATCGTGCGTCCGTCTACATACCATCATCAAGCTACGCGCGCTCGTCTCCCTCGCCGTGATGGCTCCGAAGCGGCGCGCCGGGAGCGCGCTGGCGCCGGCGACGCCGACGAAGCGGCGCGCGGCGGCTCCCAAGGCCGCCGCATCGGCCGCGCCGACGCCGACGAAGGCGCCGCCGCCGGCCGAGGCCGCCGCGGCCGTCGCCGCCCTGGTCGCGTCCGCGCCCGCGTCCGCGCCGGCCTGGGCCGGCCCGGGCCTCGCGCACTGCGCGGCCGCCGACGGCGGGCGATTGGGGGAAATCGTCGCGAGGTGCGGCTTCCCGGACTACCTCGCCAAGGACGTCGCGGACGACTCGGCGTGCGCGGCGCTCTGCCGCATCATCGTCGGCCAGCAGCTCGCGGGCGCCGCCGCGGCGAAGATCTGGGCGCGGACGTCCGCCGCGCTCTGCCCCGGCGGCTTCGCCGCGGCGGCCGTCGCCGCGGCCGCGGGCGGCGCCGCGGAGCTCCCGGACGACCTGCGCCAGGCCTGCGGCCTGTCGCGCGCCAAGGCCAAGGCCGTCGTCGGCGTCGCGCGCGCCTTCCTCGCCGGCGACCTCAGCGACGAGTTGCG